AAGACAATGTGATTTCTATGCATAAGAATCTAAGAAATCTTAGGACATGGGTTATGGTGCAGGTGCCCAGGTAGAAGTCCTGGCTCTACTGTTCCCTAACTGACCTCCAACTACTATAGAGTGAGCCACCCTGACTGAGGGAGTGACAGGTGTCACTGATCTTCGGTGAACAGCAAGTTTATTCTTTCAGCTTAGGACAGAGAGTGACCTGCACTCTTCAGAAAAATGTCCAGCATCAGGGTCACTCACATACTGGGATGGCCCTGTATCATTGTACTGATCAGAGACAGTGCCTCAAGGTTTGCAGGTGACCTCTTCAGTTGCAAGGTTTTCATTTGGGATTTGGAGTGGATTTAAGGTCACTTCTGCAATATCCCACATCCCGCCACATTCTCTCTACAGGGCTTTCCTTCGGTCTAAAGGCTTGGAGTGTCATCTGGGACTTGAGAATTATAAGGTATCCCAGACTAGGCCATCTCCTTGGCAGCCCAGGGAGCCTGTCACTGAGACATCCTCAGTACCCAGGCTGAGAACTCCATATGACACCTTCTTTTCAAACATTAATTTGGACCGACTTCCAGCACCACAATTTCACAAGATTTCACATGGAAAACCTAGAACCCAGACATCCCAGGAAAAAGCCAGAATGTCCACTAATGCTGGGCTGCCTCCTCACAGGGCAGCAAGATGTTGCCATTATGTAACTGGAGCGTGTGCTCTCCAGTTTACCACAACCCCCCCCCATTACTGCCTTGAAACTGAGGGCTAACATCAGCTGCAATCTATTACCCTATGTGGACCTGGCCCTCACACACTTCACTCAAGTATGAAACAGTGTAGTGAAGGGACTCATTTTCATTTTTGGTTCAAAATTGGGCATTATGTTGCCCAGCCTAGCCTGAAACTCATGTACTCAAGCAGTCCTCCTGCCTCAGCCTCCTGAGCAGCTGGGACTAAGGCTACTCTGCCAAGCACGGAGAGGGCCTTCAACCTTGAGAGTGCACCAGAGTCACCTAGAGGGCTCTTGCAGTAGATCACTGGGCCTCACTGAGCCTCGCCCCAGATTGGCTACTCAGGAGTCTGGGTGGAGCTGGCGCCTGCATTGTTAATGGGTCCCCAGGAGATGCTCCTGCTACTGCTCCTGGGCCCATACTTTGAGAGTCAGTTGTAGGGAGCACAATGAAAAGCCATCATCTTGGGTTTAAATCCAAATCCCTTTACCCTTGCCTTTGTGAGCCAGACCCGGTGCCTTGACCTTTCTGTGCCTCCATTTCCCCATCTGCAAAACAGGAATCCTACTGACCACAATCACAGGGCAGGTTCGCAGGAGCTGGGCAGGAAATGACAGTTACAGGGTCTCAGCGACCTCACTGTCACTCTTACTCTCGCCATCTGCCCCTCCATTGGGGTCTATAACTCTGAGTCTCCTTTGACAATCAGGGAAGTGCTGTTTATTTTGATGCCCACAGTTTTGGGGGATCAGCTTTCTTCATTTTTGGGATGTGCCCAGAGATATAGGCTTGCATGAGAACTTTGCTGGTCATGGTGGCCTGAAGATTACACAGCTGGCCTGAGGACTCCCTCGGAGTGAGAAGGATGTGAGAACAGGAAGAGACCACTGTCCCCTTCCCCATGGCAGTGAGCCTGAGTTGCCCAAGGCCCTGCCCTGGTCCCTGCTCTGTGCTCAAAAGGGAGCCAGAACTGTCCCAGTTGGCCCCACACAGACCCCTGGCCAGATCATCCTGCAATCCTACCCTGGAAGTGGGGACAAATATCACTGATGACCAAGGAAAATAATGTCTAGACACTGTCTCCTTGTCCAAACCATCACATCTGCAAGGCAGTCGCTACACTAGGGGCTGGCACAGAATAATGCCACACATACTTGTCATGGGGACAGATTGTACCTTCCTCAGCATAGGGTGACTGTAGGGTAGCTCCTGGCTTGTTGGCTCCTGTATCTGCAGAACCAGAATCATCCAGCCCACTGGCCTCTCCTCGGGACCATGGTGGAGACCTAGGGGACTTCTTGTCCAGCAGAATCTGAAGGGGTTGATCTTAAGACCCTGTCCTAACCTTTCAATACCTGTGCCTAAGAATGGAAACAAAGACTCTGAGGCCTCACCTTCCTCCACATCACATACTAGAGACCTACCTCATGGAGTTGAAATCAAGGAAATGCCTCCCCTGGCCTTATACAGCTTCCTTTGTCCTCCTCTATCCCTTTGACTCTTCTTCCCCAGGTGAGCCCTGCTCTGAATCTCAGCTGTGGAAGATTGACCAGAGGGGCCTGGGACAGGGCAGGCAATTCTTCAGCTTCCCTGTCAGGCGGACTAGAGTCTGGACAGGGCATGGAGGACAGGGTGAGGGACACCTCATCTTGTGATTGAAAACATTTGCTATCTGCCCCGTGTCTGCTGAGCATGAGGAGAAATCAGTGAGCCATCCTGAAGGGATGGGGCCAGGCCAGTAGCACCCCTCAATGGCCAATCTCTTATCTCAGCCCAGCGAGTATGGAAGGGACACTTAAGGGAATCAAAGTATAAGATCAGGAGTTTGGGGGCCCTCCAAGCCTGGAGGGCACAGATGAAGGCACAGGAACTTGTGGGCCCTGCCCTTTTCTTCTTTGACTGTTTACAGGCTGTTTGCCAGTATGGGGCATTTGGGAGGTCACAGCAGTATCAGGAAAGCAAATGACAGCTGTTTTCATCCCCATTCCTTTTCCCTACACAGAGATGCTACAGTTTGGGACAGTATAGACACCTGTCAAAACTTGGTCCCTTACTGGGAGGTGGGACCATGAAGGACAGGTGCCTAGTGGAGGTGTCTAGGTCCCTGGGCTGCACGCTAAATAACACTGAGGCCCTGATCCTCTTCTTTTGCTTCCTGACCATGAGGTGAGTGGTTCTGCTCAGCAAGTGCTCCCTGCCATTACTATCCAGCACCCATATCAGACACCCAAAGAAATGAGTCCATGCAATTACTGAGAAGGAGCAGGAAAATAGAAAAGATGGCCTGTGGGCATCACAAGAAGCAACAGGACTCCACCCTGTAGAGCCTCAAAACTGCAAAATAAAAGATTTGCTTTGAGGAGAAATCCACAGAGCACAAGGTTCCAGAATGGCAGCAGCAGAGAGAATGTATTCCTTGGAGTTGTATTTAGCTTGCACAATGATCCAGGCCCTCAATGCCTACAGCCAAGAGAAAAGGAAGACTGGCATCAGACGTTGGCATTTTCCATGTGGTGCTGGTTTTAGGCATTTGTGGCATGCAAAAGTTGTAGAGTTAAGAAGAATACTACCCAGATTTCACAAAGCCTAGGAGGTCAGGCAGTGTGCAGCATATGAAGTTGTGAAGGTGAAACCAAGGGTGCACTGGAGACCCCAGAATCTTGGAAATGCCAGGAACATGGATCATCTGAAGAAAGCTTTAGGGAAGGAACAGAGTGGGCCTACGAAAGAAGCCATGAGAGCTGTAACCAATGGAACTGCCATTGTGGTGGAACTGTTCAAGCCCTTTGGAGTTCACATCTTGCCATACATTTCCCAGGAGGATGCAAAGGAACTACAGGCCTTAATGTTTGCTTTGTTGGATTTTGGACTTGTTTTAGTCACATTGCTTTGTATCTTCATTTGTAACTTTTGAAATGGAAACATCTGTCTTGTGCAATTGTGTGTAGGAAGTGTTTAGCTTTCTTTTCATTGCCATAGATCTCAGAGGTGACTTGGGACTTGGAGTTTTCAGCTGAAACTGTTAGAACTTTGGCAATTCTTGCAGATGGACTAAATTCCTTTTGGATTAAAGGATGTGTGTGAGTCTTTATGGGGCCAGGGGCAAGATGTTATAGTTTGTGTCTGGATGCCTCCCCAAAATTTGATGAAATCAAGAGGGTAGGCTTTTCCAAGGTGGGTGAACCTAGTTTGTGATTTATTATCTAGTGTGGAGATTAGAGGTGTGTGTTACACCCATGCTAAACTGAGAATGTGCATACAATACAAGGAAGGAAAAGAGGCTTGTTTCTTCCTTTTCGCTCTTGTTGCTTTTGCAAATCTCCACAACCACAAACTATTACCCCTCTACCTCACCATGCCACCTTGGAACCAACAGATTGTGGACTAAAACCTCCACATAATTAACTAAATAAATGCTCCCCCTGTTTAAAAATTTGATCAATGCATTAATTAATATTAAAACATAAAAAATAACATTAAATGTTTAAATGAAATAAAAACTTGAAATGTAAAATAAGTGACTTATGTTTGTAAGAGTAAACTAACAGAAATCAGCCATTTGTATCAATTTGAAGAATAAAGATAGAAAAGTCAAATCAAGTCAACACAGCATAAGATCCTAATCTGTCTGTCCTGCTGGTCCTGGCAGTGTGCTAAGGATTAAGGGTCCTGGTTCCCTCCAAAGCCTGTGGGAGTGGTGGAGCACAGAGAAAGATGACAAAACATGTCCCAAATATGTCCAAGACATTGCATCTTCCTGTGAGTTTCCACCCTGCTGCACACACAAGGTGTAGTGTCAGGCCCCACTCGGTTTTAGCCCAAAACATCATTTATACAACAGTGTGTGCGCACACATGCACACACACACACACACACACACACACACACACACACACACGTATCATCCATTCGCATTGCCACCCTCACAGGTCCACTTGCATGAGGAGTGAAGTCACTATGCCACAGTTTCACAACACATGAGATTGTTCTATATTTGGAACATGGGCTCCTCCAAATGACCTTGTCTGACAAGTCAGGTTGGGTGAAAACATCACAGAGTCAGGGCCATGTGTGACATCAGAAGGCAATGTTTTGTCACTGAAAAGTTCATCTCTCATGAAGTAGGAGCATTATCATCATGAACTGAGCACCCAGTGTCTTCTGGGGGTGCACAGGCCACCTGACCCTCAGGCATCTGCATGGTGCAGATGCCCTTACTGGCCTTATTGTTAGGATAGACAACCTAGACTGGCCTACACAAGGTGCTCCCTAGCTGTGCAAGGGCCGCATCATCATGCGGGAGGTGCGGAGTGAGAAGATAGTGGGACCGGAGATATTGGAACTGGAGGAGTGGTCCCAACGGATGCCATTGATCTTCTGCTTGTACTGGTCAGCTGAGTAGTAGACGCCATTGAGGTTGGAGGGGCCACAGGAGTCAAACCACCATCCTGTTGAAGAGGAGGACATGGACCAATCACAGCTGTTACCTCTGGGCATCAGTGAGCTGAGGAGGTAGGGGAGGACCAGGAGTCCCTGTTCTCAGACTCAGTCACAAGAGGGCAACAAAGTCACTGGACACCTCTCTCAGCCTGTCTGCACCTTCTTACATTCCCCAGAATCCTCGCACCCCGTGTCCCTCCCTCACTGACCTCCCAATTTTCTGGCTTCCTCACATGTCCATATTACCTCCCTTGGTATCTGGTGGCCTCTGTCTCCATGAGTCTCTCTCTAGGTGGTCTCTGACCATGTGTCACACTGTGTGCCTCTTCCTGGTGAAGGACATCCTTCCCTGATAGCTGTCTCTGGTCTCTTTTAAACTGTCTTTCCCAGGTCACTATCCCCATGTACCCAGTCCTCTTCTGGTGTTTCCAGGGCTGCGCTTCCTCTCCAGCTCTCCCTCTGCCTTCCCTGTCCCAGTGCAACTCTGTCTTTACTACTCTCATTTCTATCAGCCTCTGTTCTCTCTGCCCCATCTGTCCCCATGTCTGTGGCTCACATCCCTCCTTCTCTGTCCTCCCTGTCCTGTGTCTGGTTCATCCCATCTCTCACTCTCCGATCTCTGCCCTAGCTCAGGATCACTGCCTGAGCCAGAGTTGGTGGAAAACTATGCCCTGGTCATGCCCTGACCTTTGAGTTAGGAGGAGGGGTGTCCCTCTAAGGAGGGAACCTTAGAACCCTGGTGGGGAAGGTAACTCACCTCCAGACATTATCACTGCACAGTTGCAGCCGCAGTTGTCGTGGTCTGCATCATGGGTGCTGAAGTTGTTGCTTCTCAGGATCAAGCGGCCCTGGCGAGTTGAGATGCCACTATCTTTGTCCAGATAAATTCTGGAGGCCACCAAGGATGGAGAGAGAGGAGAGCGCAGTCAAGTTAGTGCCGTGCTGAGGAAGCGTTTCCATTGGGAGCTTTGCCCAGGCTGGGTTTACTTCTTGTTGTTCCTAAAGTGGGAGCCTCAGCCCAGATCTGGTTTCTGGACCATTTTCCTCAGGCTCCTCCTCCCCTGCTGCCTTTTAGGAGTAAAGCACCTACTATGTGCTGGTCCCTCTTATCTCAAGAACTTGGTCTTGTGAAGGAATCACAGTGGCCATAATGAGGACAGCAGCTGACAGCTTTTGTGCCTCTACCAGGGGCAGGAACTGTCCCCAGCCCTTTGCAAGGGTTGACTTGCTCTTATCTAAGCCTCTCAACACCCTTTCCACATGCGAAGATGGGATCCCAAGAGCACAAGAACCTGCCCAAGGTCTCAGGATCAAGGAGGGTCAGCGCCAGATGCCAGGCCAATGTGACGTGACTGGGGACCCACTTGTGTTTCTGTACCCATTATTATCCTGCATCTGGCACCATCATACCTACCCATGTCCTGCCTCTTCCAGGAAGCCCTGCCCTGACCACAGCAGAACAAACCGATCTACATCCAAGGAACCCCTTGTGACTTGCATATCAGCAGGCAGCTCACAGAAGGGGAGTTATAGTCTTTGGCCAGAGTCTGGGGTCTAAGACTCCCTGGTGCTGATGGCCATCAACACCAACTGATGTACTCAAACACCCGCTCTGCCTCTTGGAGGCTGCATGACCTCAGTTTCTTCAGCTATGCATGTGGCAACCACACAGATATTGACAGATACCTTGGTCATTGTGTAGTTTGGTGGCCTCAGCTTGTAGATTGTTCAAGGCAGTGAACACTGGGCACACTCAGTGTTCACTGTTACTTGGTTCCTGGCCCATGGCCGACTGGCCCATGGCTGACTGGGAAACTAGAGGGAGGGGCTATACCTGCAGTGGTCATGGGAGACAGTTGGGGGCAGTTAGTCCCACATGGTGGAGGGGAATTGACTGTGGATACAGCCAGGACAGCTCAAGGATGCACTGATTCCCATGGCAGAGCCTAGGAGATGTCCCTGGTGCAACCCAAGGGAACATGGGGCTGGGTGGGTGGCTGGTGCTGTCCTCCCAACGTTCACTCAAGGACTCTTCCTGTCTGTGGTGAGAAGGAATGTAGCCTGATGGCCAGCCATGAAGCACCCTGTGCCCTTAAATATGCCACCCTGAACTCTGGGATGGTATGACCCAGTGCCCTGCAAAGAGCTGCCTGACTAGGAGTGCCCTGAACAGAACTCACAGACTGCCCAACTGCTATCACAGTTCTGGATTCTTCTTATGGCCATGAAAGGTTCCAGGGAGGATTCAGTGCTGACATTCTCTCATCCCTGGGAGCCACAATGGGGTCAGTGACCTCTGAGGACCCCACATCATGAAGTAGGACACCCACACTGACCCGCTCTTCATTTATGCCTCAGGCCTGTAGAAGCCCAAAGTGAGACATCCCACATACATTACTCATGTGTCCACATAGTCTAGTGCCAGGTTTCAGCACCTGAATATAGTTTATGTGCCCTAGTGTAGATGTGTGTGGGTGCTGAGTTTGCACTGGGAGACCCACTATGACCCAAATGCATGCTCCATGATCAGCCCTTGCATCTGTGCCTTTGTTTCTCTGGCAGCTCTTTTGGGAGAGGTGCATTTGCACATGTGTCTGTGTTCCCAGTGTGGTCATTTGTGTAGCTGCCCATGCACAAGCCCCGTGTGTGTGTGTGTGTGTGTGTGTGTGTGTGTGTGTGTGTGTGTGTGTGTGTGTGAGGTGAGCACACCCAGGGATGTGGGGTGCCCTTCACACTACAGGTTGGAGCTAGCTGAGCAGCTCTTTGTGCTCCCTGCACCTGGATTCAGGTCTAAATGATTATGCACCTTGGAAAAGCAAGTGCCAGGTCACTCTGTGTCCCTGTGACTCATCCATGCCTCCTGGGGCCACTTCATCTGCAGGCTCTGCCTGCACCTCTGGTGGGCATCAGGGGTTCCCATTCCTGTGTCTGAAAGGCACCCCCCAGACACCCACTCCCCAGCTGCTCACTGTGCATCTTTATACTGGGATTCCCTGGGGGACCTCTCCACCCCAGGAGCTCCCTGACTCTGGAGGGTGGGTCCCAGGGCTCAGCATCTTTCATCCTCTCATCTTTCTTGACATGGCTCCTACTTCATGGTTCTGAGATATTGGTCTCTGAGGATTTTCCTGAAGGACCACAGTATTTATGATCCCAGGACTTTTGTAAGACTCTCTTTCAATTTAGGATAAGGATGGCCCAGCAGGAGGCCACCTCTATCTTTTTTCACAATATGCCCACTCTCTGAAGTGCCCTTCCTATCTGCTCTCTGTAGGAGCAGAGTCCACTCATGATAGGCATCTGTACTCCACAAAGACCTCCCTGATTGGACAGCATCTCCAGGATTTCTGTGGCTTCCACTTTGGTAGCCACAATCCCCTCTATGGTGTGAGCCACCAGTAAAAATCCTAAAACATCCCCCACACCAGAGTAAGAGTCACTCTGTGGGGGTGGATCCCAGATCAGACTCCTCCCAAAGTGACCAGGCCAGCACATGCAGGCACAGAACAAGTATCTGATATCCTGCTCTGTTAGGCTCTGCAGAGGGAGAAGTGAATGAGAGCCTTTTGAGGCCTGGGTGTAGCAGCCTGGAGCTGTGGAGCTCTCTGCGGTTCAAAGAAAAAGCCAGGGGAGCACAGCAATTCCCACATGAGAGCTTCCATATTTAGCACACATGCATACACTTGCAGGGCTGACATCAGTAATGCAGATTTATGCATTGAGGTAGAAATGTGACGTTTCTGTCTTCAAATACATCATTTCTACATCTCCAACTTGCTTCGCCCCACTGCCTCAGTGTTCATTGTACTAAAATAGGTATGGTAATGCCCACCTCAGAGAGCTGTGGGCAGGAATTAATGGAGTGCTGAGAAAACAGTAAGTGTTCCATAAATGCTGATTATCCTTCCTAAATATGCCAAGAACCACACTGAAGAAGGAGTGGGATAAAGTAATAAAGTTTTGCAGTATCTGCATATCCAAAGCCATTCTGCCTTTGAAGCACAGAGCTTCAGAGCAACTCCCCTGATTTGCCCAAGTGGGAGCTGTCAAACTTTCAGAAAGGGGCCGGGTTCCCTGCCCATCCCAAGGGCATTTCCACCTCACCCCAGGACACAGCACAAGCACTCTCCTGGGACCCAGCCCACCCACCAACTGGGCCCCGAGCCAACCTGTAAAACTCTTTCTCGCTGTCCAGCTGGAAATAACCAAAGTTGGCATAGAACGTGTTGCCTTGCCAGTCTTCCATCTCCACACGCAGAGAGTAGTTAGCGCTGCTGCTGAGCTGGTGCACCACCTCGTTCCCCAGCCAGTGCTCCCCAGCAGGGTCACCGAAGCCCTGTGTGGAGGGGGACAGGGTGGGCTGCATGCTAAGTGGGAAGTATGTTCCTGGCTGAACGTGGGGTTGGGCCAGGCTCTGAGACCTCATTCCCAAGCTGCTGGGCCTAATGATCACGATGGGCAGTCTGGGGCAGGAGACCCCCACCTCCCAGAGGAAAAAGACCATTTGTAAAGGTAAAAGTTCATTAAACATTAAATATGACTGAAATCACATTTCCCCAAAGTTCAGTAACAGACAAAACTAATCTGTGGTAATCTGAATAAAAATAGTGACTATTTTTGGGAACAATTAGGAGGAGACACCAGGGGGATTCTGGAGTGCTATGAGGCTTTTATGTCTAGCTCTGAGTGGGGAACAGGGGTAAGCACATATGTGAAATTCACTGTGCTTCACACTTCTTATTTGTGCCTTTAGTTACTTGTCCATTTAATCTCAGTATAAAGATTTTCATCTGGACATAAATGGTACAGCAGACTTTGTTCAACAACAAGGAAACAAATGGAAACTTTCAGCAACATGAAAGTGTATAAGAACCTAAGAGCACATGGGCCATCTTGTCCCCAGTGTCTGCTCCCGTTGGTGGGAGGAGCTGCCATTACTAGCTCAGGGTAAACATCCAGCTTTCTTTTGTGTATTTCTGCATCTGAGCCCCTGATTTCTCTTTTCCATTTTGATGATTTTTTAACATCTCAATTGGTTCAAGAACACCTACAACTTAACTCGATATTTATATTTAAGCATTTATCAAATAGAATAGAAATTGGATGCAAATAATAATATTGCTATATTTCTTCATGATGTTTTCCTATTTCTTTTGCTTTTGAAAAGTTTAAAAACATTTAGAAATGGTCAATCAGACAATGAAAACACAAACTGTTCAATGAACAGAGATTAGTAGTATGCCTATCTATCTTGTATATACATACACACACATAAATGTGTAAACATATGTATATATATATATATAATCTCTTGCCTTCTTTCTTTTCTCCTTTCCCATATCATAGCTGCTCTTGTTCTCTCCTATTGAGCACTTTCTTTTCTTTTCATGTTCACAATATCTATTGTACATATTGGATCTTATTTACTTTTTTTTAAATTTACACTTGGGAGACAATATGATTCACCTACTTTCAAAATAACAATATGAAATATATTAGCAAGTGTTAGTTTATTTTTTGAAGTTCTGTATTTTTTATCCTTTTTTGTTTTTAAAATAAAAAATATATCAAAAATGCAATCAATAAATTTAAATCTTATAGGAAAAGAAGTTTAGGAACATTTAAGTTAACTTGCCAAAACGTCCTTACTTTGGAAAGCAATCAGGAAATACCTTATGTTGTAAAAGGCATTTGATCTTTCAATAAGCAACTCCACATTACAAACTGTATACTGCTGATGTGGTCACAGAAGGAGAAAAGGAGAAAGAAACTCATTTAAGCAGTGTAGCCAGGGGAGCTGGGTACTATTTCCTTTCATGTGCCTCTGCTGTATTTTTTTAAAAGTTACTTAGCAATGTATATTTTTACCAAAATTTGAAACATAAGTTAAATTTCATTCCTAGAATGTGTGTGAGACATTTCAAAAAGAGGCTCAGTTTCAGGAGGTGGAGTCCTCAGTAGCACATGCTTGCTGAGCAAGCCTGTTTGAGGTTAGGTGGCTCAGGGGGGCTGAGTATCTTTTCTGGGAAGCTGTGAGGGCAACACACTTCTCTCCCCCCTGACCACCACCGGGGTCCCTGCAAAGCCCCTCCCCAGGGAGGCAGTGTCACCTGCTTGTATTCCTGCCAGCTCCTCTTGAAATCCACTGCACCATTCTCACGGCGCTGGATGAGGGTCCAGGCGCCTCCACTGGTGTCCATCACACAGAAAACCTGGGGGAAAGAGGAGCAGCTGGAATCCCCTGGACACAGCCAGAAGCCAGATCCAGGGCAACACAAGGGTGATTTGGCTGATGGACCCCACCCCCACAGAGCAAAAGGTGCTCAAGGTCAATAAAAGCAAGCATTAGTGTTTTTCCATTTATAATACTGAAAAGATTTCTTTATAATAAAGCTCACTAGTTTTCATGGAGAATGTACTTTGGAAAAATTACTCTTCAAATTCCCTCATAGCTACATTTACTTAATTTTTCCAAAGCACATTCTCCATGAAAGCTAGTGAGCTTTATTATAAAGAAATCTTTTCAGTACCATAAATGGAAAAACATTAATGCTTGCTTTTATTGACATGACTGTGAAAATAAATATAATAAAATAGCATGAAATTCAAGCTAGAAATTTTTGCAAACACTCTGCCCTCAGCTGGTCTCTGCTCTAAGAGTCATTTACCAGATAGGTGAGAAGCGTGAAAGGCACTCCGGAGACAAATGGAGCTTCTCTGTGACATGCTCAGGAGAGCAAAAGGGAAGTGCAGAAGGAAACACAGAGCAGGCCCAATGCATGGCTGCTCCCCTTCCTTGCCCTCCTGGCCAGCCCAAGCCCTAGCTGACACCTCCCTCTCCTGCAACCCCTCCGCACCTGACGACTGTACCTGTAAGCTCAGGGCCACCTTGGGAGCTGCTCACTGAAGATGATGGCAACTCCATGGGCCCCTCACACTCATTTCCTGCATACAGCAAAGCCCCAGTTTCTGCCCTCAACTAGAAATAAATTTTGTGCTGGGCCAATGGAATTGCAAGGTTTACTTGTTGTATAAACGAGCATGGCTTTAACCAGAACTGAACTATTTTCAGCTACCCCAATGAGAAGTCTCTCTGTAAGGCAGCAACTTCTACTTTGAGGACTTCTGTACATCACCCCATGGTCACACCTCTGCCTGCGTGAGAGGTCAAAGAAGTAGGGGACCCCACTTTACTGGCATCTCAGCCGCTCAACAAAGCACAATGCTAAAGGGGGTTTGTCTGGAAAACTCCTGGTTCAACAACCACATCCACTCTCCTCTCCCCATGCCAGGACCCCTCTCACCCTCCTGGGCTGATTCATATTGGGCACGAAGATGGTGTAGACGCCATCCTTATTGAACCCAGACTTGCGGATGTCCTCACAGTCCCGAAAGCCCGGCACATCTGCACCTGCAGAGCCAGCAGTGAAGCAAAGTCAGACATCTGGAGATCAGCAAGTAGAAGGAAGAGACCGGGTGGGCTCGCTTGCTGTGAATTCCAACCGCACTTTCCATGGATTCTATGTACTGCAAATTTCCTTACACACCTGTCATGTGTAGGTCCTGGCTCAGGAATTAAGCTATAGGGAGATAGCCACATCTTGCAAGGTTTCATAGAGCAAGGGATAGGAGTTCCAGCTGCAAAGTGGTGTTCTGGGCAGAGGGAACAGCATGGTAAAGGCTCTGAAGTGAACAGAGCACAGGGCACAGGACCATGAAGAATGGGACTGACTCCCATGAGTGTGGAGCCTCTGCAGAGAGCACTCTGGCTGCCTGAGATGGTGCCAAGTGGGCAGAGAGAGGTCAGGAAAGGAATAGGGTGGAGGGGAGGCTGTTTCAGCAGGCTCAGCTGCCCCTGCACACCAGGCTGAGGAGCCCAGACTGCTGTGCCCAGCCAGAGCACTGTGACCAGAGTGAGGCTGAAAACCTAGAGGCTCAAAGCGGGGAGACCCAAGAGGAGGTGCAAGGCCCTTGAGAGAGGGTAAGAGGAGCCCTCACTCCAGCGAGGTGCTCCCATTCCGCAGACCAGGAGACTAACAATTCAGGGTGAGGGTACCCAGCCAGCCAGAACAACTTACTGGGGCATACTTGGATGTGAGGTCCTGGGCTCCCCTCCTGGCTACACTTCAACTGAATCTACCTGCAGCCCTGAGAAGAGGGCCCTCAATATGCCTGCTTCAGGGCCTGGCCACCGGCATCAAGGACCCATGTTTCTTCCCCTCTAGACTATATTTCAGATCCCACAAGAATACTGACTTAAATGCCTGAAATTACCAGTGCCCATGGATCTTTGGGAAAAGTTATTGTTGACAAATAAACTGCTGGGATTTGCAATCCTCCCTTTAGTTCATTTAGTACAACCACCTAGAGACTGTGATTCTACTAGAAGCCAAAATCTGGGTAGGTTGATAATCAAAGATGGGATTAAAGGTCCAGATGGATAGGTGTTAATTCTGGTGATGAACCAGGAGACTTCCAGGAAGTGAGACTTCCTTTTTGCTGTGGTTTCCAGATTCTGCATCTAGGACACCTGTCTGAAGCAGGTTGCTTTGCCCTAGACAACTAGGACCTGTGTCCATCCCAGCCTGTGCATACATTTACAGCCAGGGGTCTCTACATCCCCCTGCCAGCAGCCCCCTGCTCCAGGTGGTCCATTGCAATTGGAGTCCAGTCAACAATAGGGAAGGTGCTGGCCTAGAAAGGAAAAAGGAGAAGCCTGCTTCCCACAGCAGTGCAAAGTCCGAGCAGGGAACAAGCCTGACAATTCCAACTGCCCTTTCCATGGCTCTATGCATTGCAAATTTTCTTAGTCAGCAACAGTAGCAAAAAAAAATATCAACAACAGTGATAATAAAAGTACAATAACCACCACTGTACTACAGGGATTTTAGTTGCCTGTTTGAATTTAAGAAAAGATTAAGAGAAGGGGTGGGACCTAAAGACATGGTGCCTGGATGTACAGCACAGTCCAGCCCAAACCTGCTTCTTCTAAGTCTCTATGCTCAGAATCTGTACCTGTCTCACCCACTTTTGGCCATAGGCACCTGCACCTTGCTGAGCCCCTTCCTATGCAAGACCTCATCTCATCCTCTGTACAGTGCTCTGGGACATTTTATTCCCATTTCACAACTGAGGAAAACTGAGGCTTCAAAAATTAAATGAGCATGAAAAGTCTTAGTACTAGGAAGTGAGAGACTGAGGGATGAAACTCCACAGAAAGGCCAGTATCCCTTGCTGCCACCCAGCACTCTGCTCTGTACCTCCAAAGGAGGGCAAAGCACCTCCAGTCATCCTCCCATGACAAAGTGCTGACACAACTTGCCATACACACTATTGAGCAGTTGGCCACACTTCAGGCTGGGTTAGCCAGGAGCCTACAAGGAGAGGGGGCCCCTGGAAAGTGCTTGGGCTGAGCCACACTTTCCATACATTGGGCTTCTTCTGCAGGCTTGCTGCCACGGCCACACTCAGGCCCCAGAGGGTTCTGGTCTCTCCACAGCTTGTGGTCTGGTAGGCATCCAGCTCTTCCTTGAGCCTGGTGGAATTAGGATGGAGCCACAGCGAGGTCCTCTGCCCCAATCCCCTGTCAGCCATGTTGCCTGGAATCCCATCATTCTTGCTGGATTCTTTGTCCTTGAAGGCTTCCTAGGCCCCGCATGGTAGTCCAGCAGCAGTATGAGTCCCTGTCTGGTCTCCCTTTCATACAGCCATTCTCTACTCCCTAAAATGAGGCCCTTAATAGGACACCCTCTGGCCTCAGGCTAAAGTCCCTTCAGGGCCAGTTCTGCCGTGGGAGCTCCAGGAACACTGATAGCAAAGTATCTGGCACACAGGAGGTGCTCAACAAAGAAGTATTTCCTCCTTCCTGCTGAGGCTCAGAGTCAGCTCTGTACTTTTGAAAGAGACAGGCCAGGCTGCCTGTACTGCTGGGTCCCTGCGTCCAGCACTGGCTGTCACACAGTGAGTGAGGTATCAGCATTTGTGGACTGACTAAGTAAAGTTGGAATGGGGAACCCTTGACCCCCAGTGGGCCACAGGGGAGCAGTGAGCACTGCACTCCCTTTTCAACAGGAGCTGGGAGGCCTGCTGCCTTCCTGTGTCCCTCTTGGGCTTTGAGGAGGAACATTTAACAGGACAGAAGTCCCTGGGGTGCACTGGGTCCTACATGCCCATTCCATGAGGAAACTGGGGCCCAGGGAAAGCTAGGTGGGGCTGAAGGGTGAAGCCTGGAACCCAAAGTTGTCATCTGGGCTGCTGCTATCCTTGTTAACACCATCACCTCTATTGGACAAATGAGGAAACTGAGGACAAAGGTGGGATGGGATGGGGCAAACCCAGGCACCTGCGGAGTCAGGAGATGAAGTCTGGATTGGCTTCTCTTAGGACCATTGCTATGGCCATCTCTGGTATTTCTGTTGTCTGGATGGTTGAAGGGAGTGGCCTTTCCCAGGATGGGTGCCAGCCCACAGTGACCCTGGAGGCTGAGCAGGACTCTTTCTGGGCTCCTGCCTTCCTCCCTAGCCTCTGCCCCACAGGCCCCACTAGCTCACCTGCGCCCTGCTCCAGCATGCGTTTGAGGAGCTGCAGGCTCTGCATAAGCTGCTGCTGCTGCAGCTGCAGGAGGTTGGAGTTGTTGCGCAGGGCTTCCAGGCCCTGCTGGATGCCCGTGAGACTGCTGTTCTGTTGGCCCAGTTGCTGCCTCACGTTCTCCCTCTCATTGCGGAGCCCCTCCAGCTGGGTCTCCCACTCAGTCTCCATGGTGTGCAACCGGGTTTCCAGGTTACTGCAAGGTGGAACACAAGAATGAGCCTGCTGTTCTGCCTTGAACTCATAATCACACAGAGAGGCCCAGAGAAATGGAGCATCCGGTTTAGAGTCGCAAGTCCCACAGTCCATGTCCATAGTAGGTGTGGACTAGGGAGGGGCGTGGTATGCACTGGGGTCCATCGGGACAGTGGACCCCAGCACCCAGGTATACATTGTCTGCCTCCAGACCCCAGTAGCTAAGGGACAGGTTTGGGAAGGGAGCATTTTACCTTCAATTCAGTTTTGCAGACCCATTCTCCAGACTAAGAAATAAATCCAACCAGGGCAGAACAAATTGCCCCAGGCCCCAAATTATAATGCAGAAAAAGAAAATTGGGACACATAGAAATTCTAGAATTCTAGCTGTCTTCACTGATCAATAGATTATTGACAACGTCTTCTGTCTCTGCAGATTTCCATGCAACTGCCCAATTGAGAGGGATTCAAAATGCCCCATTTCTCACCACCAGAACTTAGGGTAGGGGAATGAAAATAAGAACCTCTAGTAATGGCACCTGAGTCAGAGAGAGGGGACAGTCTCTATGGCCTTGGTCTGCGCAAAGCACACGCATGCCATGACTGTCACATCCTTTTGACAGGGTTGTTCACTGAGCAGATTTAGCTCCCTCAAACCTTGATCTTAACAGTTTATTCTCCCTTCAACTCAAAACCAAAATAAAATCTGGGATTGGGGGACAGGCTTCTCTGCCTTATCCAAATGCCATGACTATTTTTCTTTGTAACTAAAGTGTGCACAGATTTGCATAAATGAAGGGACTCTAAATCTTCAGAATAGAAAGTGGTCACTGTGGTGTCCTCAGGGAAGGGGAGCAGGTAAACTCAACCAGTTTTATTTATTTGCAAATCAGTAAGACCAATTAAAATGTACAGGATAGCTGGGCAGGGTGGTGCACGCCCATAATCCCAGCACTTGGAAGGCTGAGACAGGAGAATTGTTGCAAGTTTGAGACCAACCTGGGCCACAAAGTGAGTTCAAAGCCAGCCTGAATTGCACAGTGAGCTCGTATCACAAAAAGACAAAAAAATAAAAACATAAAATGTACAGGATGAATGGTATGGTGTGCAAGTTCTGTCTCAAAAAACCAAATAAGTTTATAAAAAAAAAAAAGGAGAGGAAGAATGTGAGAAAGCAGGAAGACAGAATCAAGGCGTCCTGAGCCCCAAGACCCTGCCCCTCCTCTGCCCCCACTCAGTGCTGGGGATGTACCCCGGACCTGCTTGGCTCCCAGCTCAGCCACCTCCCTGTCCTGTTGCCCATGCCCCTCCCAGCTCCTCTGGACTCCAATTCTGATTACAGTCCTTATCAGCCTGGGCCCAGGCCCAGGCCCAGCTTCAGGCCCAACCCCTCACCCCAGTCCTAATCAGGCTCTGTCCCACCCCCCACACTGGCCCATGTCTAGCTGCAGCCTCAGCCCCTGCCTCAGCTTTGGCCTAGGTCCCAGGCTTGATTCCTGGCTCAGTTGCTGCCCCATGAGGACCGAGTGCCATGCCCACCTTTTTCTGCTGTGCAGCTGGTTCAGTGTCTCTCTCTGCTCTTGCATCTGCTTCTGCAGCCTGTCGGTGGTCTGTAAAGTCTCCATCATCTGGCGCTCCATGTGTGATGTCTGGTTGCTGGCCTATACCAGGGAAAAGGAGGGTGGGTGCTCTGTGGGCCCCGTAGGAACCTACCAGATGCCATCGACCTGAATAAGAGCCTATCCCCAAATTCCTACTCCCTGCGGTCACTCATGTACCTACTCACACATGGCTCTTCTGCCTGAGCACCAGCTCTGTTGCCTGAATCTGCCCTCCTCCACCACTGCCTATGACGGTACCAATCCTGTTCTCAAGCCCCAGAAGGATCATTCTTGACCCCACAGCACATATCATCAGCAACCCCTTCCAAATTGTCCCTAACAACTTCTCTCTATGGCCTCTTCTGAAGCCCCTGACTCTGTGGCCTCTTGCCCAGTGTCCTGCACTGGCCTCCTCACAGGGCTCCCTGGTCCCCTATAGGCTGCTCAGCAGCCTTTCCAAATGTGTCCCATCTATGCACAATGTCCCTGCTGCTCCTCCTGTCCTCACCATGGCCCACTAAGTCTTCCTCTGTCACCTCTCTGGCCCCACCCGCCACTCTCCTGTGGTCACTCTAGCACATTTGTGTCCTATGTTCCTGGAGCTGCCCCATGCTCCCACCTCTCGATTTGCATGCACTCTTCTGCCTGGCTGGCACACACTGTCCACTGAGCCTGGCTCCAGTGCTGCTCCTCAGGGGTCACTCCTGGCCTTGCAGTGGCACTGCCAGCTTTGTCCCACCCACAATGCCCAGCGCATCACCCTCCCACTCTTCTCTCAACATGATCACCACATAAGCTACATGATCCTCTTCCTGCTCACTGTCTTGGTAAACTCTGGGTTACAATCGCACGTCTGTTTTGTTTGCTGCTGTGAAGTGAGACCAGGTATCTGGAACTGGCCTGGCAATAGTGGGGTTTGGCAAACCCTCTGTCCTCTTGTCACTCACCTGTGCATCCTTTCACTTCCCCACTGCTCCCACCCTCCCACTGCTAGGGAGTCTTTGGCCCTGACGCCTGAAGGATTCTTCATCACCGTCTTCCCCAGGCCCCTAAAACCCCTGGAGGAAGGGACTGTGCAGCTCTCCATTGCCTGGTGCCCAGCACAACTCAGGCACTACACATACACAGGCCAAGAAGCCAGGTCCCACTGGCCCCCAGGCCACATGGCAGTATTGCTGGACCAGGGTCCTCAAAGGGAGTGCCAAGGGTTTAAGGCACAAAAGAGGCCTTGATCTATCCCAGGGACAGAGGTCAAGGCAAGACATCAGCCTGGGAACCCACCTATGTTCTTCATTACCTGAGCCTCCATGTTGGTCAGCTTGCAGTTCTGGGCTGTGGTTTCATTCAGAAGATTGGTACCCAGCTCCAACATGGTAGCCATGTGGTTCTGGACTATGTTTTGCTGGACCTGCTGCAACTTTGATCCCAAGATGGTCTGGATGTTCTCCTCCAGCTAAGGGAAATAGTAAACTAGGTTACAAACAGGAACTGGAGAAGCATCTCTCCCTCCCAAGTGTCACCATGCAAAGTCCCAGACTACCCTGGGTCTTAGAATGTACCGTCAGGCCCTTCCCATGCCTCACCTAGACTATCCCAGCAAATTTTTCCTGGTCTCTGGGTTTCTACTATCCTCCCTTCCACAGCCAGTGGAAGCTTGTTAAACCCAAATCAAATTTGTTTCTCAAAGCCATCCATATTGCTATCTCACTCAGAGAAAAAGCCAAAGTGACACACACCCCCAGCAGGCTTCCTACTCCACACTCAAATTACCACTCTCTGAAACTATACCACATGTGCACCTCTCTGTTCTCTCTTGCCCTCTAGAATGAGATTGGGGACTCGATTTTGTTCACCACTTTATCTCTGTGTCTATCACAGTGCTTGTTACATAGTGGATGTTTAATAAACGTACGCTCAGTGAATTGAGGAGAAGGGCTAGAGCACAGGCCCCGTGTCATGTCCTGGCCCCAGCTCCCCATAGGAAAGCAGCCAGAGGGGAAGGCACCCATCTTTCCCTTGTACAGTTTTCAGGTCCATCTGCCAGGCTGTGCTTTCTAATTTCTGGCCTTGTCTATCTGCCACGCAGTGTCGGACCCTGGTCCCCAAGTATCCTGGGAATGTGCATGCTGTCATTCATTTCATGGACAGGGCTGCTCTTTCCTACAAGCCAGGAAGCAGGGCTGGTCTGACACCAGGCTCCAGCTGTAGGGTGAACAGCATGTTCTCAGTCTCAGAGCCTGCAGGCTGTGCGTGAAGTCTCCTTCCTTCCCTCTGTCCTCATTCCAAGGCACCTTCTCTTCTGCTCTTGCTGGATCAGGCCAACACCCTTGGCCTGTCCCTGGCTCCTTCCCTCACCTTCTCACTCAGTCTTCAAGAGATCCCACAAGGTAGGGTGGATCCAAGGGTCACTGAGAAAACCAGGGATTCCCAGGGAGAGGTGTGAGCTGGACTAGGGGCCAAGTGGCAGCTGCTGGTTTCTTCATCTCCTCCTCTCCTTGGTCTCACGGGTACACTCCCATCCCTACCTCTTCCAGGGGTACCTTTACAGATTGCATTTCATTGTTTACCCCAAAGGGGTACACCTGGTGGTGCTATGATTGATTAGAGCAGGGCTTTCTGCTAAGTGGATACAAAATTCAGCACCACTTGGTAGCTGTTTAGAAATGCAAGTTTCCAGGCCCACCCAGCTCTATGACGCAGGGGCTCAGGCATCCCAGCAGTCTGCCCTTCAACAGCCTCTGGCTCCGTCTGACACTGGCTCCAGGGTGAGAAGCCTGGGCATGGAGACTGTGAGGAGCCAAAGCTTCCCCAGCCCCTCTAGCCCTCAAGTCTTGGTCTCCTTTCTCAGTGTTGTCATCCCTGTCAGTCCCTCCCAAAGCACACAAGTGCTCTCCCAGATCCTGCCTGAAAATAACCTGCAGCTCTGCCAGTGCCCCTCTAGCTTCCCTGCTTCCCACAGTGCCATACTTTGTTCTCACCTCCACACCCACCCTCCTCACAAACAAGTTAATATGCAATTATGGTGCATTTCACAAAAACTTTAAACCCTAATCATGATGCTGAATCTTTCTGTTTACCCCATCATGTCACTGCAGTCACAGGAACCCCTCTAGCGCGCTCTTCCATTCAACTTGTCATGGGTCTCCTTGACACCCTACTCAAGGGATACTTCTCACACTGTGTTGCTGGACCTGCCAGTGGCACATCCAGTGGAAGTTCTTCCAGAGGCCTCTGTCCTGCTGCTCCCCCCTGTCCCTGGCTGCCCCTCTGCTTTATCAGGCTCCTACATGCTGGGGGCTTTGGTGGTCCAGTCCTCCCCACCTTCTCCCCCCGGGCTGATATCCTCAGCGTGGGATCACAGGGTCTGAGTACAGAATTCAGTGGGTCCATGAACATGAGTGAGAAAAATTCCATCTTTTTGCCCACTAATGTGTAATTTAAAATTGATATTTTATTCAATTATGAGCTTAGACCAAAAACCAGACCTGTTTCACAGGCCCTGAGACTTCATGACCAAATGAAATCACAAATGTTCTCATACAGTTGTTCACAGTGTCTTTGAATGTCTCCTCTCTCTCTCTCTCTCTCTCTCTCTCTCTCTCTCTCTCTCATTCACTACAACTTTGGAACTATGGACATTATCAAATCTGACACTAGATAATGCTACAACTTTGTCACAGGTCTTCCTTTTCACATTTTGATTTTGATGTTTTCTTGTGCCTTTGTTTTATGAGATTTTGAGAAGAATCCATAAATTTTACCAGGTACCAGATGCCAGAGGATCCAAAGTCCCCAGTGCATCGTGGCCCTGCCCAAGGGCTAAGCCACTCCTGAGCTTCCATGTCCCCCCATACTAATGGTGCAATCACCATGAACCCCCTGGACATCCAGTCAGCTCACCCTTTCCTCCCTCTTTCTGTACAGGTTTCCAGCAAGCATCTCAAGCACAGAGCATCCAACACAGACCTCTGATCTTTCACTCCCACTACCCGGCCCCTGAAGCTCTCAGCCACTTTAGCATCTCAGTCAATGGCTCCCTTCAGTTCCAAAGCTCCAAACTCTGGCCTAAACCTTGACTTACTGTTTTCTTACCTGCCATATTCAACCCATTAGTAAGTTCTGCCCAGTGTGATCCCAACATGAATTAGAATCTGTTCATGCACCCCATCATCTCTTGTGATTGCCAGGAACTACAGTCCAAGGGTACAGACTGAGCATGGAGAGACAGGGAGGAAATTTGTGGCATTGTTATCAACATCCTATATCATGCTTGTGGTGGTTACATGATTCTATGTTTGTTCAAACTCAGACCTGTACATGAATAGACTGAATTTTACCATGTGAATTATATTCCAACAAGTAAAAAGCCCAACAACACAAGAGTCTAGAAAATGCCTTATATACAAATATGCAGTATGAAATATATTTTCTCAAACTCGGCCTGTTACCCTGAGTTTTATTTTTGTATTCATTCAGGAATTACTTCCTGAGCACTTACTATGTGCTAGCTCTATACTAGGCACTTGCAGGTCAAGAATTAATAACACTGGCAAGTGTTTCTGATTCCAGATCCCTTCTACTAAATAAATCAACTAGATTGCAATAGTGACAAGTGTTGTAGAGAACATAAACCAGGTAGGGAGTAGGGTACTGGATAATGAGTGGGGTGAAAGGAAGTTGACCCCAAGTGGCAATGAAATCTCACTAGCAAGGTTACCTGAGCCAACAGAATGAAGCACAGCCAGCTATGGGAAGGTCAAAGGTGAGGAAATTCCAGATGGAGGAAAAGGCAAGTGCAAAGGCCCCAGGGCGGATGGGAGTATGTCTGGTGTTTGAAGACCAAGGAGGAGATCAGTAACACTGATCTGTTTTGCATGTGTTTTCTGTGGAAAATGGTGCATGTGGTTCATGATTGGCAAAGGCAGGTGCCAACTGCAGGCAAAAGCTAAAGCAGAGAGATCAATGGGCCTAGGCTTGAGTGGCAGCTTCCAACTCTCCTGCTGGGTGATCTTGGCCAATACATGACAGGACCTCTTCCCTGAAATGGTGATGATCTCAGCTCCTACTTCCTGGGCTGTCAGCAGCATTCCTAAGATGATCCATGTGTAAAGTGCATTGTATGGATATACAAAATCAAGACATGAGAAATTCTGCTGTGACTGGCTCACGGGTTAGTACATAGTTACCAAAGTAACAAGGCTGAGTGTCCTCAATGGCCCATCTGAAAAGATCTCTCTCTGATCCCCAGCAGTGTTATCCAACTTTCAGCTGCTGCTCTGAGTCGGTCTGGGCCTGAGCCACCGTGCTGGGAGCAGAGAGCCTGTTCCTGTCATGGCGTGACCATTTCCTTCTGTGTCTGTGATGTAGCTTCCGTGAGCCCCAGTGGTGCTGTGGGAAGCTGGAGCTCTGGGAGGAATAAAGGAGACACCCTGAAATCATGCTCCAAAGCACTGGAGTTCCTGTCTGGTTTGCTTGAGGCCTAGCACAGTACCTGCACATAAGAGGTATTTAACAGGACTTGTTAAATACCTGTGTCCCATGGGAGGGCGAGACAGGTGCTAGGGAATGGCTTGGGGGAGGGGCAGCAGGTCCATTCTGTCATCAGGCCATCGAGGTCCCCAGAAGGTGGGGAGGGGTCCTCAGCACTGGTCCCCTTGTGGCTGTTTGTGTCCAGGAACCTAGGTTCCCAGGAACTTTGTCTATGTAGAATCTGATGTTGAGTTCTCCTCATCGCAGCCCAACTTGCAGAAACTGGAAATTTCAGTGGAAAGAAGTGAAACCTCACACTCTGAGCTCTCTCCTTAGCCCTGTGAGGCACCTTTCCAGGTGTGTTAGTTATTTTTCTCTCATTGCTGAGACAAAATACCCAACACCCAAAGTTAAAGGAGGAAATGTCTATTTAGCTCACAATTTGTGGAGGTTTCAGCCCATGGTTGGCTGGTTCCAAGGCAGGACGGCACTTGGCGTGTGGTTCATGGTGAAAGAATCACAAAAGTAACAAGGGAAAGACAAGAGTCTTTCTGTTCCTTGTATGGTATACAAGCTACCCGCCTTAGGGCTAGGGTAGCATTCACACCATTAATCAGCATGAATCGATCACAAACTCTAGATTCAACCACATCCCAAAAGCCATGACTGCATGAGACTTAGTGGGTTGGGTCTAGACATAAACTGTAATACCAAGGTGACCTGTCCACTTTGGCAAATGTCTATTAAGCACCACATGTGGCACACTGTTCTGATTTCTCTGTGTGATATTCTCTGTTTCTACTCTCCAAGGGAGAAGCTGCTGTCAATCTAACTTATAGAGAATCCCATGGAGGCTAAATAACTGCCTAAAGACAGCAGCTCTTCCTGAGTGCAACCAGGGTGTCTAGGAGCTGCTCTCTGAGCAGTAAATAGAGCTAAGCCCCTCTCTGCTCAGGCTCCAAGTCCCCATCTGTAACAGGGGCA